CCCCAAAACCCCAAAACCCCAAAACCCCTTAAGCTTAAACTATAACAAGATTAATGCTTAGGATTAAAGTCTAAATTCATGTATATAATTGGAAAATTTCAGTCTTTTAATATTTTTTGCTTTCTCATATTTAATTAGATGAATTGAAATTGTATGTTTTCTTTGAGTTCGGTATATATTTCTTAAACTTGTATTTAGTGCTTCTCACGAGATCACTCTTTTTAGTGAAATCCTTATATTCATCTATTAAATCTTTCAGACTGTCTTCATACTTGCTTGTGTCATTTTTGCTTAACTTGATGATTGAACTTTCCCTGAAGAGAAGTGGACCTGTTGGAGTATTATAGGAGTAAGTCAAATCCAAATTCTCTTTAGTATTATTAAACTAACTTTTCTAGTCTGCAATGTAAAGTCTTTTCAATAGTTTTGAAGGAATTAGATGCTTTTATAGCACAGTTATATTTTCAAAAACTTCTCTGTCCTCCTAGATCTACTTATCCACTTGCTTTTGTTTGGGTTTCAATTTAAATTAATCATAATTTTCTGATTCCTATCGTAGTTTCTTCGACCACATCTTTACTTTTTCCTTTATCAATTAGCTTCTTTTGCTGATATTTTAAGTCATTGGAGTTTAAGCTGAAAAATTGTCATGCATATAGTTAGTCAGTAATCTATATTAAGATTAATGATGCTAGTCTTTCGATACAGTATCGCACTTAGAAATCAATTTATGAAGACTTCTGTTGTTATACTCCTATTATCTTTTACTGTCGCATAAGTTCAATTTGTTTAATTTTTCCTAAAATATTGAATCGTTATCGTTGCAAAGACAAGATCTAGTATAACCAAGCGAATTTGTAGAGGCAGCCTAGTAATAATTTCTAAAATGCTGATGAGAATTAATGTTTCTTATGGGTGAAATTAGTTCACGCATACTACTTTGATCTGCAGCTGATTAATCCACAAACTTTATCTAATCTTAGGATTAAATCAAATCTTCCCTCTAGTATTTCTTAATACTTAGTCTTCTTCCCCTAGAAGTAAATAAATTTCTGTTAACTGCAGTGCTATTTAAGAATTAGGCACTTCCAACACCTGAGCCAGTCCCAGAAAATATAATTCGCTACTCTTAGATATTTTTGATTGATTCTAAACTATCCTTACTATCTTGCTTCTATATGTTTATACTAATCAAGTTTCCAGATTCATACCTTCTATTTTTGTTTGATCCTAGCTGTCTTACTCTGTATTGTGTTTAATTTGCACCTTAATTAGCAGGTCCTTCATTTAAATTTCTTTTTTATTGATTTTGATTTTGAGAACTCCATGCACTGATCAATTTGTCATTTTTATTTATTTAAGCAGTCTGTGCTGGCCTATTATTATTGACTTAATACTATCCGAATATAGTAGGCTATTCATCATCAAACCCTTTGGAATGATAAAATTATTGAAGCAGCAACTGAGATTGCTTTTTCTTATCTGGAGGAACTGAGTTCTATTTAATGGGTTTTTTTGCCTGAATCTTTTCATTTTTAGGCGACACTTCACTGATATTGTCAAAACCATCGTAAAAATTATTCCCTTTTTCTTGATCCAATTGTTTCTATTAATCTTCTTAATTTTTTAGTGGGTAATCATGGGGAAGAGGTCTTCAAGATTTCATTTTGAGGACATCTGAGTCAAGTTTTCTCATTACTTTTCTCATCCAATTATCTCTGTTATTGAAGAGCCCAATTCTTTTTTAAATTTTCTAAGCAAATTATGAATCTAATGGATTAAATCTCTCCATCTGCAACTTCATTTTCTCCTGTCACTGCATCTTTTCTATCTTTTCTTTAAGCTAGCTTGAACTTAACTTCTTATTCCTATTTGATTGAGTAGGTGAGAGATTGTCATCCTATAACTATTGCTGTTGTTAGCTTTTTATATCCATTTTCTTCGATTGATATTGGAAAATTATTTCTTTGTTGTTAAGTTTAGTGAATGAGAATGATTAATTATACTATGTATTATTTATGTTTATCGGTTTAATTTAAGAAGATAAGTTAAAGAATTATAGGAAGATTTTATCACTTCAAATTATAATTTATATTTTAAAATAATATTAAGATAATAATGCAAGCGAACCCAGATTAGCATATCTTTATGGCTAGAGTTGCTGAATAAGCTCAAGATTATGAAGAGATGACTGACTAACTTCTCTAGTTATTGGCAAAAAGAGGGCTAGAAATAACTTCAGATGAGAGAAATCTTCTGTCAATCGCATTTAAGAACTAGATTGCCTAAATTTATGTAACTCTACAAAATGTTCACGCTTTGATGGAAAGCAAGGATGAGACAATCGCAAGTCAAAATAAGCAAGACAATAGTAAAACTTAAAAAATTTAAGAGAAACTTAAAGAACCATATATTGTATATGGGAAAGTGCAAGATGCAGGAAAATCTCCTTTAAAAAGGTATGAGATGATTCTTCAAGACAAGATATACGACAAATGCATGAGAGTAATTAGTTAGATTAATGAGCATGTACTTGAAAAGAAATTAGATTTCAACGATGATTTAAACGAAAAGACCAGAAGTGGGATATAGCAGCCGTAAGTAAGCAGAAAAACTGAGAACCTAGCTTTCTTCAAAAAATTGGTGGGAGACTACTATACCTACATTGCTTAAAATGTAGATGATGAGAGATTTCCGGAGGCCTTCTAAAATGCGTTGAATTAATATGATAAAATTACAGAGTTAAATTTGCCCTTTTGTCATCCCATTACTTAAGGTATTGCCCTTAATAGAGCCTTACTAACTTATAAGCTCGCTTGTAATTTCAAATTTAAGGATGAAAGCTATTATTAACTCAGTGACGAGATTAAAATGTTCCCATAAAGCAGCAACATCAAAGATAAATCACCAGTTCATGAATTAAGATAGAGCATTCTTAATAGAGCTAAAGATGAGGCAAACAAGAGTGCAGAATGCTTAATGGATAAAAATTACTTTAACTTATCTGAAGATGATCAAACAGATTTAAAGATCATTACTGACACTCTAAAAGAGAATGTATTAGTCTGGTAAACAATTTCATTCCCAGACGAATATTTACCTCTAGATCCTAAAGAAAACGATTCCGCTTGATATAAATTAAATTTTAAGATATTTCTACCATGAAACTGATCTCATTTTTTAGACGGGGTTTTGGGGTTTTGGGGTTTTGGGGTTTTGGGG